CCCAAAAGTTAAAAAAAGAGCTACTGACTGAAGATATATAGGAATATTATTAGAAAATAAGTCATTCTAAATACTTCACAAAAATTAGCACACATTATATACAAATGTTGCAATTATCTAGCAATTTAAATAATTTGCTTTTGCCCTGGCTGGTGTGGGTCAGTTGAAGAATTGCTCTGTAAACCTAAAGGTCACAGGTTTGATTCCTGGTCAGGGCACACACCAAGGTTGTAGGTCGGGTATGTACAGGAGGCAACTGATCAATGTTTCTCTTTCCCTCTTCCTCTAAAAGTAATAACAACAACAACAATAATAATCATTTACTCTTTTCACACCTTTAGTCATCTCCAGTGAAGACTAAAGGAGCATGGGCACATTTTAAGGTAGATACATTATTCTTCAAATCAACAGTCCCATGATTAAAGACATTTATCTTTATCTTTCAATATACATAATTTTACTTTATGTAACACTTTTGGGGTTCACATCATTTTTTAAAATTAGTAACCAAAATTCAGTAGTACAGCAATAGTATCATGCACCATGATCAAATGGAATTCTTCTGAAGATATAAGAATAGCTCAGGACACACAAATCAATAAATAAATCACAATAATGGAAATAAAAGATGGAGAAAGGGACATTTGACAAAATTCAATATCCTTTCATGATAAAACTCTCAACAAATTGTGGAAAGGATATACCTCAACATAATAAATGTCATACATGAAAGCCCAAAGCCCATGCTCAATGGAGAAAATTTGAAAGCTGTTCCTCTAAGGTCAGGATCAAGACCAGAGTAACCACTCTCATATTCCTATTCAACATCACCCTGAAGTCCTAGTGAGAGCAATCAGGCAAGAAAAAAGAAAAGAAAAAAAAAGAAAGAAAAAGAAAAAAAAAGGCATGAAAATTAGAAAGGAATAAGTTAAATGATCTCTTTGCAGATGAAATAATCTTATATGTAAAAAATCAAAGACTCCAACAAACACTATTAGAATGAATAAAAAAATTCAATGAAGTTGTAGGATACAAAATCAAGAAACCAAGTCAGCTGTGTATTTGCATGCTTAAAACTATCAGATAAAAATATAAAATCAGCTGAAGCTGGTTTGGCTCAGTGTAGAGCGTCGGTCTGTGGACTGAAAGGTCCCAGGTTCGATTCCGGTCAAGGGCATGTACATTGGTTGCGGGCACATCCCCGGTAGGGGGTGTGCAAGAGGCAGCTGGTCGATGTTTCTCTTTCATCGACGTTTCTAGCTCTCTATCCCTCCCCCTTCCTCTCTGTAAAAAATCAATAAAATATATTTAAAAAATATATATAAAATCAGTTCCATTCATGATATAAAAACTTGAAAATAAATTTAAGCAACATAATGATCTATACAATAAAAAAATAAGACATTGATGAAATGAAAGAATAGAGAAATAAATGGAAATATATCCTATGTCCATGGATTATGAAGATTAATTTTGTTTTTTTAAAAATTATTAGTTATTATGGTAACATTGGATAATGAAATTACATAAGCTGCAGGTATACAGTTCTATACTACATCATCTCTATATTGTATATTGAGTCCAACTCCTTCTGTCTCAATTTAGCCCCCTTTATTCTTTACTAGAGGCCCGATGCATGAAATCCGTGTAAGGGACTTGGCCCCCACCACAGCAGCAGCTGCCTCTGCCTCAGCCCTCACAGCCCTGGCATCATCTAGAAGGACATCTGGTCTAATTAGCACATTATGCTTTTATTCTATAGGATAAATAGGATTCTCTTCTACCTCCTCCTAACCTCTTTTCCCTCTGGTAATCACCATGCTGTAGCCTGTATCTATGAGCTTTTTTTTTTTTTTTTTTTTTTTTCTTAACCCTTTCATCTTTTTCACCCTTCATGTGATTTCTTTTTCAGAATACTGTAATTTAAGGTGAGTGGATTGAAAGGATGAACACTTTGCTACATGAATACTTTGAAATGTAGCTAATACTATTATTCCATTTGGGGGTGAATGGATTTTTTATTTATTTTTTCAACTTAGAAGACACTGAATATACATTGTATTTAAATTTAGAAGTAACACTGTTTTTTTTTCCCTCCTGTTAATCCTCTCCTGAGGATATTTTCCTTTGATTTTTATGGAGTGGAAGGGATACGGAGAAAAAAAGAAAGAAACACTGATGTGAGAGAGACATATGGATTGCTTGCCTCCCGCATTTGAGCCCCAACCAGGGCTGAGGAATCGAGTCTGCAACTGAGGCATTTGCCAGGCCTTCATATCTTCATCTGCAAAAAAGGATGTTAATCAGATAATCTCTAAGAAACCTTTTATTTCATTACATAGCAGCGATTTTTCAACCTTTTCCATCTCATGACACATATAAACTAATTACTAAAATTCTGTGGCATACCAAAAGATATATTTTTTGCTGATTTGAAAAAAATAGGTATAATTTGGATTCATTAACATTGTATAGCTATTGTTGTGTTGTCTATTCAAGTGCAATTTTTTCTAGAATAATGTCTACTCCAGTAAGAGAAAAGCCAGCTTTTTCTCTGTCCCATACCCCATAATTCTCCAAATCTTGACTGTTCAGCCTTATCTTCCTGGATGCTTTTCTTTTTCTACTTAAAACATTTGTAATGTGCTGTTCTGCTGATTACAAACATTATGTCCTTTTATGCTCTTGGAGATGTAAAATTGGCAAACTCTTTCTTGAAAGCCAACTAGCAATACATAACATACTCTTAACAGTTTGTATATATTTTGAGGGCTTATTTTTACTTCTAAGCATCCAACCAACGGAATAACAAGGTAAAAATACAAAGGTGAATGTATGTGTATTCAAATGAACTTTATAATTGTTAACTAAAACATCTAACTTCAGGAGAGTTAGGAAGTTTCATGCAGTACTTACTAACTTGGCAAGTGATTTATTTTATCTTTATTTTTTTTAATTAATTTCTATTTTTTTCTACAATGAATACAAATTACTTAACAAAGAGGCTATGTTAATTATTTTTTCTTTTGCACATGTACCCATGTCTCTGAATCATTAATTCTTTAGTTTATTCTGAAAAATCATCAACCCATGAGACTATTTAATTCTTTAGCTATTATAATTGTTATTAAAATGTGGTAAGAGTGGGTATGTTCTCCCTAAAGAGATTTCAATTGAGGGGGAAAAAATAACTTACTGAGCTAAAACAATTACAGAAACACCTAATAGTATGTCCTCAGAATTTCCAAAAGTTGCTTCTTAAATGATGAAGAGCCAGAGAAACAAGGTACTGCAGCAAACACTTTTAATAAGAATACAAAATTCACACCAGACGCACATTCTGGGGAATGTAAATGAACTATCACAAGTAGTAATTCTGCTGGAAGAATAAAATAAGGCTCTCAAGAGTACAAATATACAGGAGGGAATGATTTAAAATAGGTTTATGATTTACAATCACATTACTTTGTATTAAGCACTGAAAACAGGCATATTATTTAAAAAGCCAGCTAAAAGGCATTTGAACATATATAACAAATCTTACAGTCCACAAGTTCATATATAACAGTAATTTTAAGTACTTCATTTCAACACAAAAGGACAGGTGAAGGAATCCCTCTCAAAATATTAATTTATGACTATGACAAAAATCAAGAAAACTTACACTGAAAAAGGATTACTGATTGAACCACACAGTGGACAGGCCAACCACATGAACACAAAACCAACAGAGCAACTAAACTAGTGCTGGCCTTTCTAGTCCCCCTTCTTACCACCACTCTGCCCCATACTGCCTTTCCATTACTCATGAAAAAAACCCGGTTTCCCCATTCCATAAAAGGAATGAAGAAAAACCAAATAGTGTATTCAAAAGTTGATTTCACTTTAAGCCCGAAATGTGGTTTAATGCGTACAAAGAAACCCAACATTTATACACAGTGCTCCTTTCCAAGGAAGGAACAGACAGGTCAAACATTATCTGAAAGGGGTTTCCTTATGGATTTTGTACATTGGTTGAATGAGAATTACTGTTTTTGAGAAGGCACATATCTGTGATTTAAGGCTTAAACGGTATTGTTACATATGGAAGTCAATGAAACCTGTCTAGAAATTCACTTCTGTCAAAATAGATTTTACCCAAAAACTAGCTTTCTGAGCACAGATTTCTACTCTAGAAACCAACAAGAATTTCTATTCCCAAGTCCACCTGTCAAAAAATTTTTTTTTCTTAAGCAGGTTTCATTACAAATCAAAAGACTGCTAACATAACCACCCTCTGACTTTGGATGATGCATATTCGTAAGTTCAAAAGCCTCACAGAAATTAGTGTGATTCCTGCGTATTAAAAAAAAAAAAAAAAAAGAGTCTAAACAAAAGTACAATGGTACAGATTCATTTTAAAAGGTATTTGCCCAAACTCCACAAGCTAATCAGTCATTCATTAGAGCGGCTGCCAGCCTATTGTGGAAGCGGTAGGAATACCAAATAATTTTACTCTGCAAAATAGTCTCTTCTTTCTTTAAGACAATACATGAAAATGAATCTCTTAAAGATGTTTAATATATCCATATATAAAATATCTGATGTTGATACAAATCAAGTAAACCTCCCTTTGGAAAAGTTACAACTGGCCCTCATCCCCAGGACCAAAACCCTTGAATTTTGATCTGGTCAGTGCAAATCTATATTAGATGTTTTCAAACTACAGAAATAGCCATCAATCCTTACAATACAAAAAGACTTCTCAAAAAGAAAAATTATTGTGTTCAGATTATAGAAATTACATTTTCGCTAAAACTGTCCATCTTCCCATCAAATTTAACAGTTCAATTGTTAAAGTATAAAAAGGGGAAAAATTAAAGCTGTTTGTGTGAGAATCTCTACAATGGTTATCACCCTGTCTCTCTTCTCCCAACTGTGCTTCATTCTTATTAGGTTTGTTTAGAAATAGAACCATGTGACTTTCCTTTGTTTGTTTGTTTTTGTTTCCAGGAGTGATTTTACTGTTCTTCCAGCCAAGATGGGGCATCCACTCCAGGCGTTTTCAACTTGATGTGGAACTGTTTAAGGGTCTGTTCAAGCTGCTTCTGGTTCCCAGCAAAGTAGGCGGCGATGGCATTGTGGAAAAGGACCAGCTGGTTGTGCAATACTTTCACCTGTGAACAGGGCAGAGTACAAGACCATGCATTAACACCAATGACAACGAACCGTCTCACATAATCTCTCTCTCCTCAGGAAAAGCTGTTTTAATAATGCAAAGTAGTTCACATATACCTACTGTACACTGTCTGGCAGGTTCTGAGCCTTTGATGGCTTTTAATTTCCCTACAGGGGACAGACCAGTTTAAGAAGCTAAATATGTTCAGGAATACCTTGTTTTATTATGGGCAGCTTTATTGCACTTTACAGATGATATGTATTTTACAAACTGAAAGCAAGACCCTCCACCAGCAAAAAGATTACAACCTGCTTTATTGCAGTGGTGTGTAACTGAACCTGCATTATCTCCAAGGCATGTCTGTACTCTGTTAGCCATTTTCAAACATTGTTGGGGGCATTAATTAAAAAATACCATTAAATACCCTCTCAAACTAAGGATATTAAAAAATCAAATACTGAAGAGGAAAAATTATATACAAATTACTATGTGACATACACTCAATACCAAGTATAGACATCAGAGGATGGTGAACCTCAACTTAGGGACGCTTATTAAGGAAACAGGACAATCACAGGAAAAGCAGGTTTCTGGATGAAAATTTACGAGTTGAGTGAAGCATCCTATTACAGTGGACTATTACAATGGCCCCAGAGAATCATTCCTCTCAAAATTCACACCCCCCTGGGTTCTGTTATACAATGTATTAAAAAGAAAAACCACAGGCCCAAGATGGCTGTCCCTTATGCTAGATGCAAAACCTCATCTACCAGCAGTTTCAGCCTCTCCCAGGATGGGATTTTAAACCAATCAGCCTGGAATTTCCTGATCCACACTAGCAAGGTGTTCTGCCTGATAAGACCCCTCCCATTCCCTAAAGGTAAGTGTCCTTGCCAGAGATAATTTACTCTTAATTTACTAGTCCCAAATCCTGCCTACAAAATCCTTCCATTCTGTACATCCCAACTGATTGGCCTCGTGGTTGCTAGATGTGATGCTGCTCAGTTCATGAACTATAATACATAGCAGAGCCCATAAGGTCTCCAAATTAATAGGTTAGTTTTTCTGAAACAAATAAAAGCTTGGCCATGTAACATTAGAAAATGAGGCCTGAGAAGCAAGGGCTTGCCCTCCTGGGGGGATGAAAGCCCATCGGAGAGGGGAGTGTGTGCCAATCTTAGCTGTACCACTTTCTAGTGTCTTTGTGACACCAGGCACAGGTTACTTCTAACTTCATTGGCCAAGGTCTTTATCCGTTTATCAGGGATGCCATTACCAGCTGAATCTGTTGTGCTGTTGTAAGGGTTAAACGAAATGGGATACTACCCAGCACACTGTCTGACACAGAATAGTACTCATTCAATTTCAGTGAAATCCAAGGTTACCTATTTGACAGTCAAATCTTCAAACAACGCTGACTTTTCTTAGTGAAACAAAATTTCATTTAGTTAGAGCCCACTGATTTGGAATTTGTAAGATTGTAATACTGTGGTTTATAATAAGGAAAATATAATTGATTTTCATCCTCACTCTGGGAATATAGCTCCTAAAACCTTTGTAATTTCTTAAATGATGAGAGGATGGGAACATCTTTTGTTATAATAGTTGATCTCTTGGTGTACATCTGAAACAACTCCAGAGCTAAAAGGAGTATTTTTTGGTTGTTCATCATGAGCCCTTTCAACCGTACCCCACTTTATGCTAATGAGATTGGTGGCAACCAAACCTCATCCTGTGGTTCTCTAGGGACTTTCCAAGCATCTCATTATCATCAGGTGGGGTATGGTGAGAGGGGCTACAGGCTGAACTAATTACCAAGGGACAATGCCTTAATCAATAGGCCTGTGTAATGAAGCCCCACAAAACCTCCTAAGTACGGGGTTTGGAGAGCTTCTGGGCTGAGGAAGGCACCCACGTGCCAGGAGGGCAGCATGCCCCCTCATGCCCCGGTGACAGCAGGTCTGTGTTCAAGACCCTCCCAAACACTGCCTTATGTACTAGTATCTCTTCATCTGGTTGTTCATCTGTAGCCTTTAATATTTGCAAAAAGCTGGGAATTTAGCAGGAAAACTATCTTCCTGAGTACTGTGAGCCACTCTAGCAAGTGACTGAATCCAAAGAGGGATTGTGGGAACCTTTGATTTATAGCCAGTCCATCAGAAGAACAAGTGAGAACAAGTGGAATTCAATTGGTGTCTGAAGGTGGTGAGGGTGGTAGAGTCCACAGTGTCAGAACTGAATTGAATTGTAGGACACCCAGCTGGCATCCAGAGAATCAGTCAGCGTGGGGGAAAACCCACTCATCTGGTGTCCTGAGCACGTGAGAAGTGTTGTATGAAAGAAGAAATACCAAGTTCTTTCCTTTTCAAAGACAGAAATCGATCAGTTCACCTCAGCACAATAAAAAAGGCCAGATGTGGAGGAGGAAAAGGTGGATATGAAGAGCTCAGTTTCAGATGTCTTCCAGGGAACACCCAGGGAAATGCTGACTAGGCAGCTGTATTTTTTGAAACTGAATTAGAGTTCAGGATAGCAGTCCAGGATAGAAATGTGAATTGGAAGTCAATATAGTACTTCAATGTACAGATGATAAGCAAACCCATGTGACTAAATAAGCTCATCAAGAGAGTGTATAGACAAAAAGAGATCCAAGGACTGAGTCATGAAAAGTGAACCTTGACCTTTACACCTCACTACATCTCCAGAATTTAGATAGAAATGGATTTCCTGTAGGGAAATTAAAATATTTCAAGATATTTTTTAATCAAAGCTAAAACACAGTCCTAGCTGGTCTGGCTCAGTGGATAGGGCATTGGCTCATGGACTGAAGGGTCCTGGGTTCAATTTCAGTCAAGGGCACTGTATCTTAATTGCAGGCTCAATCCTCAGCCCAGGTCAGGGATGTGCAGGAGGCAACTAATCAATGTGTCTCTCTCATATTGATACTTCTCTTTCTCTGTGTATCCCTCCCCCACTTCCTTCCACTCTCTCTAAGAATGAATGGAATAGTATCCTCAGGTGAGGATTAACAACAACAAAAAAGCTAAAAACCTATAAAACTTCTAGAAAAACACATAGGAGAAAATCTTAATTATCTTGGGTTTGGCAAAGATTTTAAAATAGTACACATGAAACATAAATTATAAAAGAAAGACATTAAATTGGACTTCATCAAAATTAAAATATTTTTCTCTTCAAAAGACATTTATAAAAATAAAAAGGCAAGCCACATATTGGGAGACAATATTTGCAAAATATGTATAAGACAAAGAATCTGATAGTACAATATATAAGGAATACTTACAATTAAATAAGACAAAAAACAATAAAATGGGAAAAAGATCTGTGTGTGGAGGGGTGGGGGTGGGGGAGATAATGGTTATTTACTCACTACCTGGAGAGAAAACTGGATTCCTAATTCACATAATATAAATAAACCAGATCTAGGTGGATTTGGAATTTTGAAAAACAAACAAACAAAAAACATAAAACTTTTAGAAAAATTTTACAACCTTGGTTTTGAAAAGATTTCTTAAATAGGATGAAAAAGGCACTAATAAATAGAAGACAGATAACTTAAACTAGTTTAAGGCCTTGTTTGTCAACCACCAGTGTAAAGAGGGTAAAATCTCAAGCATAAATGGTATAAGATATATATAACACATAAACAAAAAATGGATTAGTACAAAAATACATGAAGAACTCCTACAAATCAATTAAAAAACAAAACAACAACAAAAAAAAACAACCCCAAACAACCCAACAGAAATATAGACAAAGGCATGAATTGGTATTTTATACTGGAAGAAATATATGTGGTCAATAAATAATGAGGGAAATAAAAATGAAGAACACACAAAAGAATGCCATTTTATTCACTTTTGAGTGACTCTGGCTCAATGGGAACTGAGTACATTACTGGTGGAATGTAAATTAGTACATCCATATGAGAAAACAATTAGGCTTTAATTTAGAAGGCTGAACACTCACAATGCCATATGAGGCAAGGCAGGAATAGTCATAGCAGGCACAGAAACAATATAAATGTCCTGTAACAGTAAAATGAAAAAAATATAAGGTATGCGGCAGATGGTTAAGGGAATAGGTTAGGAAGGAATAGGAAGATATAACATTATTGGTAATGTTCTAGTTCTTGGGTTGAAAGGTGGGGTCACAGATGTTTATTATATTATTATGCTTTAAATTTAAATATGCATTACATTTATTATTTTGTATGCCTAGCATATGTTATTTTAAAAAAATACTAAGACCCTGATTGGGTGGCTCAGTTGGTTCGAGTGTCCTGAGTACCAAAAGGTTGCAGGTTTAATTCCCAGTCAGGGCATATACCGAGGTTGTGGGTTGGATCCCTGGTGGGGTGAATAAGGGAGACAAATGTTCTGTTTCTCTTTCACATTGATGTTTTTTTTCTCTCTCTCTTTCCTTTCCCCTGTCTCTAAAAATCAATCCTCGGGTGAGGATTAAAAAAAACAAAGATAAAGGAAAAAACACACACGAAAATAAATGAAACTTTATGACTCATTTCAGATAGAGGATCAAAAATAGACTATAAATGAGTTAACAGATCTAAAAGTGAAACTAAATTTAAAGGTTTCATATAATCTTTCCAGATTCTAATTCTTTCTATTGCCATAAATCAATTCTGTTTATCATCAAGACATTCACCTTTTCTTGTAGTGTCTTAAGTAATGAACCTCAGGGAATACAAGAAAACTCATATCTGCCCCTAAACTACAATGTTACAATTCTCATGTAACTGATATGTGATGCACCTTGAATTTCTGCAAACCACACTTAAAATTTCCTTCTCTATAATGACATTTTCTAGATCAGGAACAAAACAAATTTATTACAGAATAAACCATTTATTAACTTGTACTTTCCTCTGTCCATTAGTTAAATAAACCTTTTCTTTGTCTACAGAGATTCTTGTTAGCTGAAGAAGAAAGTTAAGGCAGCTAAAGGAGAATAAAATAT